TCCCTACATCAATCTCTTGTTCATGTAAATGGGGTTCCATGTTCATATGTACATTTCTAACGAGAAACACTTAAACTTTTTATTGGTAAGGAACGGAGCTGCAGTAAAAAGTGAACAATAAAGTACCTCTGTTTCCAATAGTCCACTGTAGGCTGGATTTGCTGTGCTTCTTCTCTTTCTTTCCTGACGCTTGCTCTGGATTTCTGTAACCATAAAAGAAATATGAATTGTGTGTTTTGCATTCATCAGGGGAAAATGTAGATCTAACTTGCTAAGCAAGATGATCTTACCCCCAACCCCTTGGGCTTTGTGTGCAATTTCAGTTTCTAAAGTATAATTGGGTTGCATCAGCATTGATATTTGCTGCAGTTCAAGGTTTGACATTAATAAGCTTTTCCTTGTAAGATTCAAACACAGGCATTTTTATTTAATCTTCCTCCAAGGTGGATTTATGCTGCCCTACAATATTTTATTATGATTCCTTTATAAACATATTTAGTAAGCATAAACAGATACAGATAGCATTAAAAAAACACCAATATCTGTTATTAAAAGAGAAAGCACATAAAACATGTAACCCTTGCAAGTTGTATCAGGTTTTTATTAAATATTACTTCCATTTGGCTCAAGTTAGGAAGGGGAGGAGAAATCAGGGTCATAATGAGAAGACAGGTTCAACTGTAACTATGAAGCAATAATTTATGTATTCATAATATACAACAAAATCAGGGCTTTGTGCACAGAACATAGTTATGAACAATGTAAGCTTCTTTGCTGTTGACAGAGACAGAAGGAAGGGCTTCTGAGCTGATCATCATAATGAATTCCAAATGTACAGTTATAGTCCCATTTAGAAGTGGGAAAAAGCAGAAGAATTTTCTTGTTTTCCTACGCTAAAAAGGCATTATTTGTTTAGCACTACTTTTACCAGTGAATAGCCAAGCTGCATACCTTTGTAAATATTCAAAGATACATTCAAAGTGAAATCCTGGGCCCACTGAAATCAATTGGACTTTTGACATTAACCTGGCTTGAGCCAGAATTTTATCTTCTTCATTTCACCTTTATTCTTTGACAAACCATTAATGGAAAGAGAAATACGATTATTACAACAGAGAACACTGCAGCCCAAAATTCTGAATTCAATTAGAAATCTTTGATGCCTCTCTTTTTAGGGTGCTCTGCAAAGTATGTCAAATTTGGACCCTAAATCACCTGTTTCTGTTGGAAACGTAGGTTTGACATAATCTTTTCTCATTTTGTTAGTTTTGGTTAAAAAAAAAACTGCTAGAGATTGAAGTATGTTTCTTTACAAGCAGTAGCTGTGCACACTTTTCCCGTATGCCATGGTATCTTAGTTGTAGGGCGCTATTTCTAGTAGCAATAAAAAGCTCACTCTGGGCACGTCTACACATTCTTTAATGCACTGATACTAAATTAATGAACCATAAGCAGCGCTACTGCACATTAGTGTAGATGAACACTTTTGGGGTGATGTTTAATACCCATTGGACTAAAGATATTGCACATTAGCTCAGATGAATGCTTTTTAGTTGATGCTTAATGCCCATTGGACTAAGTTACTGCACATTAGTGCATTAGCATGGTTTTTGCTAGCCATGCTTGTCCAAAATAGAACTAGTCCAATGGGCATGAAGTGTCTCATGTAGATGTCATGAAGTGTCTCATGAAGTATCTCATGTGCCTTCTAAGGGCCAAATCCTATTCCCCTTTATGGGCCTAAATGGCATGTACACAACTACATAGCTGTCTTTTTTTGTACTTTTGCACACCTCTGTGTGCATAAGTCTATGAATGCCCACTGAGCAAGTTCCAAAATTTTAGACATTGAAAAAACCAAGACTAGTACATGTTAAATGTCTGAAAACGAGAAAAAGGGTCCCCTTATGTTTTAGCACTTGGTAAGAGAGCAGGAGATGACAATTCTAGGCCCTGTAACAGAGAGCCAGAGGCTCCTGTTACTTTAAGGGGAAAGTGAAGCAGGCCAACCTTGCAGTGTGGGCAGGATGCTGGGAAAAAGCTAGCTGCATTGCAATAGGCAGCTAAGGGCAAGGCAGCCAGGAGGCAAAGGCTGGAAAGTTTCTGTGTGGGGCTGCAACAGAGGAATGCAGACCCGCCATTAAGCAAAGGAGAAATCCCTGTGAGAGGCTGAGGAGCCACATTACTGGGAGTGGTAGCTTTCAGGGCTGTGCGAAAGGCCTGTGTTTTGTTTCAGTTTGGGATTCGGCATTTTGATGGGACAGCATTTAGTTTTAGCATTTCAAATTGCTGTTTCATTTTGTTTCAGCTAAAACTGTTCCGAGTTTTGACGCTGTTTTGGTGTTTCAGCCATAGGCTATAATGGGGAATGACTAAAATGCCTATAACTTTGTCATTTCCTGCCTGATTCTGATGACAATTGGAGGAATCGTAGCCCCTTCTGAGGGCATAAAGCCTGCCAAATTTCAAGGAGACAGGTGCTGGGGTTTCTGGGAAACTGCACCTCAAGATGCTGAGAGCAAAACTCGTGACGTGTTTCAAAGAGATAGAAGCTGGGAAACTGCACCTCAAGGTGCTGACAAGCAAAACTCTTGTCATATACGTTTGTTACTGTGGAGTGCAGTGAAAACAGCAGGCATGGTATCCCCTGCTGAGGCTATGAAGCCTGCCAGGTTTCAAGGAGACAGGTGCAGGTGTTTCTGGGAAACTGTACCTCTAGGTGCTGACAAGCAAAACTTGTGACATATGTGATTTTGTGTGTGCGTTAAGGCAGATTAGGGTGAAAACAGCAGGTGTGGTAGCCTCTGCTGAGGCCATGAAGATTGCCAAGTTTCAAGGAGATACGTGCAGGTGTTTCTGGGAAACTGCACTTTGTCATGGAGTAGAGTTCCTAGAGCTGGAAGGCACCAGTCACCAAGCCAGAGGGTCGCGGGGGAGGGAGGGCAGGTCCCCTGCATGCTCCCCAGCGGACCCAGAAGTGGACTGGAAGTGCTTCTGGTCCACTTCTGGGTCTGCTACTGAGCGCACTGGGGACCCAACCCCACCCCACCCCATGCTCCAGTGGGATGTTCCATCTGGCCTGCCATCTCAGCATTCATGAGCCACCTCATACCTTGAGGTATGTAGAAAAAACATTTAAATCTGTTTCTATGTCCAAATCATCGAATCTCTCCAAATCTCTCTGAATCAATTCGGAGGGTTCTGATTCGATTTGGAGAGATTAAAGGGTCTCTTGATTTGGATTTGGAGATTCAGCTACCAAATTGGGCCTAATTTTTGTCGAATTGAATCAGTGACCGAAGCTTCACACAGCCCTAGCATTTGGTGGCCTGATGGAGATATGTATTTTTAAATATGTCCATATCGAAGATATTGTTAACAGGTTTTGCATGTTTTGTCATGGAATGGTCTGTATCTATTCGGTGTGTTTTGAGCTGTAGAAAATTGGCTTCTGGTGATGACGTTAGCGAGGTTCAGTGCTTGTTTGAATTTACAAACCACTTTTCACAAATGAGCCTATGAACTGCACTTCATCAACCTCCTGGATACAGAAACTCATGGACTCAATATAGTCATTGAAATTATGACACACTACAACCTGCCGGACCTCCTACTCCCCAGATACCTCTCCACTTTTACATAATACATCCCTCTTCCCCCCTATCCCAGCCTGTCCCTCACTCCCTGACTTCTTCATTTCCATTTTCACTGACCAGCTTTCTTGCCTGCATTGCATGCCAGCCTCTGGCTTCTTTACTATTCCTTCCATCCAGGAAGAGCACACACACCAATTGCAGATGCTTCATCAGCCTGACAAAGGGCTTTTCAATCCAAAAGCTTGCTAAGATATATTTCTCCAACTATTCAGTTGGTCTAATAAAAGACGACAGATTGACCCAAGGAACCTTGTCTGCCTGGTGTCTGATTCCGCAGCTCTTTACCTTCCCTGCACTGTGGTCCATGCCTCGCAGATGGCATCCCAGGCAACTAAGCTGAGCTCACCTGAACCCTCACAACTCCACCGCAACCAGCAAGCCTCAGGTCTCCCAAAGATCTTAGGGGTCTGGGCTTTCCCCAGCCAGGACTGTGCATGCATATGGTGGCTGGAGGTTATAAGGCACCTTCTACCTGCCTTTCACCAGGGAGGTCCTTGCTTCTGGCATTTCCTGGGGGCTGCAGCACTGCTGGCAGTCCCAATAGGCCTCCCAACCCTGGCAGGGTGCAGTTTTGGGTCATGCCCAGGACCTGGGGCCTCCTCCTTCCCATACCTCCAAGTTCATCCTGGCACGGGAGCACAGCAGAGACATTTTCTTCCCCTGATGGCTGGTGATGCAGAGTGCCACCTCCAGGTCTGAAAGCAGGGCATTAAATGGTTCAGTAACCAGAAACCAAAAGGAAATTGGTGTGGATGGCCTCCACCTCACCTGGAAGGGGAAGAAGCTCTTCTCCACCAGAATGGCTGACCTTGACAGGGCTTTAAACTGAGACCACTGGGGAACGGGTGGTCTACTAACAGTTCTAGTCCAGATCATGTCAGCCACACTACCATTAACTTGGGCAGCCTAAGGGATCCTGCTTGGGCAACAGCCGAAGGAAAGGTCCCTTTTAACCCCTCAGGGAAGCATTGGGCTTAACTGCTTGTACACAAACAGCAGGAGCTTGGGAAACAAGCATGAAGAACTGGCCCTTCTCCTATGTAATAATGACTACAACCTTGTAGGAATTATGGAGACCTGGTGGGACTCCACCTATGATTGGTCGGTGGCAGTAGTGGGTTACACCTTGTATGGGAGAGACCATGTGGGGAAGAGGGGTGGGGGTGTTGCTCTCTACGTCAAAGATCAGCTCACCTCCCTGAAGATTTAATTTCCTCCATGCAGATTGAGATTCTAACCCAGGAAGGGCATCTTGAGACCCACTGGGTCAAGATAAGAGGAGAACATGGGGAAGGTGACTTACTTGTAGGAGTCTACTATAGACACCCCCACCAAGAGAAAGACCTAGATTGGGAATTCATTAGGGAACTGGTTGAAACCTCATGCTCCCAATGCTTAATCGTCATGCGGGGCTTCAACTTCACTGACATCTCTTGGGATGAGCGCATGGCCAAATCTGACAGGTCGTGTAGCTTTCTCACATGCATTGATGACCTCTACCTAACTCAGGAGGTCTATGGATTGACTATGGGAGAGGCATTGCTGGA